CATCATAATGGGCACCAACTCGGCTGCCTCCACTACCGTTTCGCACAGGGTTACCTCGTTATCCTCTAGGCCCTTTCCTTCTACAGGGACCAACTGCAGAGGTCCTCTCCGTACCGTTTTTTCTGACATTAGCCTACCCTTTCCCGACACTGCGGTCCTAGGAGGTAACTTTACATCTTCCTCCACCACTATGGTTATCTCTTCCTCTGGTGGGCATCCCAATGGCGTTCTCTCGCCGTTCACCACCAACACAGTAGGATTAAACTCAATCTGGGCCCTCTGGCTCCGGAGCCAATCTTCTCCCAAGATTGCCTCTGTACATAGGGTCGGGGGGTTACATAAAATTTTTGGGTGCTTTTCACCTCCCAATCCTCACCAGGAGCCTCACCATCCCCCTTATCTCCAGGGGGCCCCGTCTGCTTGCGTGATCTCTATGTCCGCTCGTAACCTTCTCTTCCGTTTCACCCGCCTGTATATCTCCTCTCTCATCAATGACACAGATGCTCCTGTCCACTAAGGCCCTCATCTCTCTACCACCTATCTCTGCTTTACAGGATAGTTCTCTCTCTTGCGTTAGCGAAGAGAACACTTGAGCTTTCTTCTTCCTGGGTCTCCACCCTTGGGTTAACCCAGCCATAGGCGCCGGCAATAATAATTCATCTTCATTTCTTTTTTATGAGGTGGAGTTCTGCGCCCCCCCTGCACCTGGGCGACCCCGGCCGGACCTCTCCCGGTCTCCCCTCGGCCGTTTCTAAAAAATACAGTTTCTTCTCAGGTGTCCTGGCCTCCTGCAAAGCCAGCACCTTCTTGTCGGACAGCTTGCCGCAAAGTGGCCCATCCGACCACATGTCCAACATCTTGCTCTTTCTCTTTTTAACTGGGTTGGCCTTGTGTCTATCCTCAGGGAACCGTCCCCTATCCAAGCGGTTCGCCCACCCACTGGTCCAAGTTTTTATTTCTCTCCTTTTTTAACTGGGCCACCCCTCCCTCTTAATTCTGGGGTGGCCCTTTGGCTTTTCTTGCTCGGCCTTCCTTGTTAATATTGGTGGGGCACCCTTCCTCAGCCCGCACCACTTGGCCAGGTGTCCTTTCTTACCACACCTGGTGCACCTGTCACGATCGAAGTCTGGGGGCAACCCCCACTTCGTCGGACATTCCGCCGCCCTGTGGTCCTCGTACCCACAGGTCCAGCAGACCAGCCCGTATCGACCCGGCGTGGGCTTATAAAAGCCATGCCTGGTCGACCATGCCCTTCTATTGGGGTCCTCCTCCCATATTTCTGCCCGATCCACCTCTTCCTTAACCCTCTGATTCCATACGGGGGTTCTTCCGCCTACCCCCCTTCTTCCAGCCTCCTGACTTGGTGTCTGCTTCTTCCCACACCTCTTCACCTTATCCCATACCCCCTGGCTCTCTCTGGCCAGCTCTATCGCTGCCGACAGTCTGAGCGGTCCCTCTTTCAGGACGTCGTGCCGAACACGCTCATCACTCAGAGCTTCTACATACAGGTCCGCCAGTTGAGCCTGCATAACCGCGTTATCCCTGACCACTTCGGGGAATGCCAATGACGATAGCTTCCCCGCTCGGGCCCCCAATTCTCCCGGGGTCTCCTCCCGAAGCTGTGTTAGTTTTAAAAAGGGCCCTCATGGCCTCTATGGCCCGTACCCTCGTCGGCGAACTCTTTGGTCAGCAGTTTTTTACTTCTTCCCAGGCCAAGCGGGGATGATTTTCCAAGAGTCCTTACGAACTCCGACGCTTTTCCCTTTGTGGCATCGTATGTCAGGTACAGGGTTTCCTGGTCCGAGAGCTCGTAGATGGTTCGGCTCTTTTCGAGGATTGTCAGCCAGTTCCTGAACTCCTTCCCACTACCATCAAACACTGGGACCCTCGGTCCACCCAACAGCTCCCTTAAATCTACTGACAACCCCCGCCCTACTTCTTCTTCACCCCCCACTGCTCTATCCGACTCATAATCTGACATGTCTACAGAGAGCAACAATCGAGGTAGGGAAATAAACAAGGTGTCCCTACCTTACAGACGATTCTGTTCCTTCTTTTCCTTTGGTCCCAGGTCGTTCTGATTTCTGCTTGAACTTTCAGCAACAGCGGTCGATCGTGGTCTTCTCAGGGTTGAAATCCCTCGGTCACCACGGCACCATATGTGACGTGGTTGTCTCAGGGTTGATCCGTTGGTCACGGCACCACTTGTGACGTGGCTGTCTCAGGGTTGATCCTGGTCACGGCACCACTTGTGACGGTTACACACCTGGCCCAGTGTCGGATCCTTTGGTTACGGCGCCAACGGTGACGTCGCTCCTCCTGGTCGTTCCTCCTGGGTCCAAGCGTGCCGCTCCAACCCTTTGGTCAGATGATCACCAGCCTCGCCTTTCCCGACTCGCTTCCAATACCTGGTCACTAAAACAACTATACCGATCTCCGGTCTGTCTACCCACGCTGTGTTTAGATCTTAGACAGACAGGACCAGCAGGGATCGGGGCCGATACAAGTTGAGTCCGACGGGGTGGCAAAACACAAATAAAATAAAAACTCACGACACCAAACAAAATTGCTGATAAAAGGGTAACAACCTTTTATATCTTAAAGTCCGTTACATAAAAACAAAATTGTTCTCAATTCCCGACCCGCTCTGTGGACTATGGCACCAAGCTTCTATCACACAATAGAAAAATGTCGAATTACCTACTTTCTAGAATCATGTATGTATGTCGGAGTGTGGTTCAGTTCGACACTGGGGCTAATTTCTATCGATCATTCGCAGTTGATTCTTCTCTCCGACTTGAGTTGTATTTCTTCTTCTTCTTCTGTTTAGACTGGTAGATTTCTTGTTTCAACCCAGTGGAAGATTTCTTGCTTCGATTCAGTGGAAGATTTCTTGCTTCGATTCAGTGGAAGATTTCTTGCTTCAATTCGGTGGAAGATTTCTTGTCTTCAACTTGGGCTGGAAGTCCTTCTGTCTGAGGGTTCTTTTGCCCGCAAAGGGGGCGAGTGAATCGGGTCTTATGTCCGCGTTCAGGATCTTCCCCTGCCCGCGGTCCTGCTACAACTCAGCCCAACTCCGGCTGCATCTCCAACTCAAACTGATTTCTGTCGACTGGGGTCCTGCTTATATTGACGCCGCAACAAACTGGGGTGGGTCTGTCGGCGTCAGGGTTTTCTCGATAATTTCAAAAGTCGTATTAATTTTGACTTTCCATTATCGTTATTGTTTTCACCCCCACTTTCTCACAGTGCTCTTGGTGGGGCGGCGCATATCTATTTCTCTTAGTCTCTCTCATGTCAGGTGATCGCTCTCAACCAATCGTTCCCGATCGAACCTTTCTTTCTTCTTTCTTTTCCGCAGCCCACGTGACCGCCTCGTCCAACAGTTATTGATCGAGGTTTTCTTTCCTTCTTCTTCCGCGGTCACGTGATTGTATTCGACCAATTGTTATTGACCGAACACCCTCTCCCCCTTTGTTGGCGGGTGTGGTTACCTCGTGCTGGTTTTAAAAAAAAAATCCGATTTCGCACCTTTTTTGCACGTACGCAAAATGACAATCTTTAGCTTTCTTTCACCTGGACTTTGTCAAACAGCCCGCTGCTAATTAGTCTTGACTTTAGAAAAGGTTCTTTTCCGCCTTCTTGGCGCCCTCTGTGGTCCAAAACAATTGCTCTTCTTTTTTACTTCTTTGTTTTACCTGATAGTCGAAAATCTTAATTATCTAGGTCGAAATATCTCTACTTTCTTAACGTGGGTGTCCAATTCTTAACAGGTCAATTCCGTATATCGTTTTCACCAGTCACTTCCCCAACCCAAAGACACTTTCTCTCAGATCACAAATTTCGTTTCTATTGTTCAAAAGAAAAAAAATAAAAATTTCTCTTCACTCCAAATTGATAAGGGGTTTTCCACGCAAGAGTCGGTCAGAGGCCTCTGACCGACATCTGGTCGATATCATGTCTTTTTCCTTTCTTTCTTTTTATTATTTCCAATTCTATTCTTCCCTTTGTTTTAAAAAAAATAAAGTCGACCACACGCAGACCTATCTCTACCATCAACTGGGTCATGCGTCATACATTTCTCTTTCTTTCTTTTTCTTTTCTTTCCTTCTTCTTCCCTTAGGATCGTCTAGTACATTCTTAGTGAATTATTTTCAACTCAGTTATTTTCCGTTTTTAAAAAAAAATTAACAACCTGTTTAATAAACTGAATAAGAAAAAATTAACTCATATTTCTATGAATATTTCCAATAAATGCAAGGTGCCATAGAAATATTTCATGAGCTTCCGATCCTAAGCTATGATTAATTAATGATGAACATGTCATTTTTATTTTGATCGATTTCATCACGATTCTTTTGTTAAGCTTATTGCTCAAAGAGTTCAATGGTGTTGAAAAAAACTCTGAGAATTCCAGTAATGTATCTTTAATCATTTCTACGATACAACGGTTCAGCGCTTAATCGAATATCTGGGCATTTTGCAGTGCATCCTATATATATATATATATATATATATATATATATATATATATAAAAACGAGTTTTGTCCCGGCGGTATTCTTCCTACCATAATAACATTGTGGTATATATATCTGGTTTAATCAATTCACCCCAACCAAGGCGATAATGACACTAAGACTCAAGTGTGTTACTGAGAGTGAAAAACAAAGCAATGAATTTAGAAGAAAAAGGAAATTTAATCCTGAACAAGAGGTAAGACTATCCTCTTGTTCAGGACCGGGGAGGAGCAAGAGCCGGGCGATAACATGAGCATAGTAATTGGCAAATTCATAAAGCATTTTCTGAAGGTTTCCGTTTCCACACATTTCCAAGATGACGTCTGCTTAAATTTTCTGATACAGTATCCATTTTTGTAGAAATGACCAGGCTAACAAGTACATAATACTGCTCAAGAGTAACTTTGAAAAACATAAGTTACAAGTCAGTGGTCGGCATTTATGCGTACACAAAATAGACTGAAAGCAAATATACCCGACATCAGTGTATGCTTACATATAATGACACGTTGAGAAATATACAGGAAATCCCACATATAACTAAATAGAAATGTAAGTCTTCGTCTATACAGACACATGAATTTGGTGTCATAGGAAGAATTATCCACAAATAATTTACTCTGACATTTTCTATGATTTTCCTGTTTTCCGCTTTGCTTAATCCAAATTTACAATAATAACAGACGTTGAAGAAAATGCTGAAAGAAGCTGCAGTTGTTGGGAAAAGAACAGAGAAGAACACAAAGTAGCCATAGTTAGGAGAAAGAAAGAAAAATAGACTGCAGTTATTAGGAAGAACTGTACAAAATAAAAGAACGAAAAGAAAGCGAGCAAGCTGAAACAGAAAGAAAGAAGAAAAAAAAGAATGCAAGCAAGCGACAATAATTATGAAAAAATGTTTAGGAAATATTAAAATGAAAGAAAGAAATCTACAATTGTTATAAAAATTAAAGAAATCGAGCAAGTAATGGAAGGAAAAAATAAAGAATGAAATCTGTAGTTAGAAAAAAAAAAAGAAAAAAAAGCGAACAAGTTGTAATAAAAGGGAAGAAAAATATACAGATGTTTGAAAAAAGAAAAGTAAAAAGAAAGCGAACAAGTAATCAAAGAAAGAAAGAAATCTATAGTTGTTAGGAAAAAAAACAAAGTTTGTAATAAAAGGAAAGGAAAAATATTCTATAGTTAGAATTAAAGAAAAGAAAAAGCAAAGAAACCGAACAAATTGTAATAAAAATAAAGCAGTCTAAAGTTGATAAAAAATTTTAAAAAAATAAAGAAATCGAACAATTTGTAATAAGAGGAAAGAAAGAAATCTGTAGTTATAAGAAAGAAAAAAGTGAAAAAGTTGTAATAAAAGGATAGCGAGAAAGTATATACAGTTCTTAGGGAAAAGAAAAAACAAATGAAAAAAGCGAACAAGAAATAAAAGAAAAGAAATCTATAGTTGTTAGAAAAAAAGCAAAGAAAAGAAAACGAATGTAAACAAGCTTAAAAGAAAAGAAAGAAATTTGCAGTTAGAAAAAAAGAATAAGAAAAAAAAAAGAAAGCGAACAGGTTGTAAGCGAAGGAAAAAATCTGCACTTGTGAGAAAAAAGATAAAGAAAAACAAGGAAAAAATCCAAGTGCAATAGATAGAAGAAAAAAAATCTGCAGTATTTATGGGAAAAGATAGAAAAGGGAAAATAGAAAGAGAAGGACGTCGGGAATTTGATGGAGCAAATTTCTTAAACGAGAAGAAAAACTAAAGAAAACTGTTAGCTATTTGAAAAAGAAAAGACAATCGTAGTCAAATAGAAAAGAAATGAAAGCGACTCCCCGTTCATACCGAAAGAGATGAAAGGAAGAGTTTGCGCGAAAAGTTGGAAGAATTTTGATTGACAGAATGCGAAACCGAAGAAAAATTGAACACACACATACATCCACTGAAAAGAAAAATGCTTGCTAAAAAGAGAGAAGTCGACAGAAATAAAACAGGAATGAAATGCAAAAAGCACGTAAAATAATGAAGGAAGGAGCGAAAAAAAGAGTAATAAAAATTTTAAAAAAGCAGTAGTATGTGTAAAGAAATTTAAATGATACTCATTGCTATTAGTCTGGCACAAGATCAGATAATGGAGCGTTGAACCATTCTCTTAAGTAGAGAGAACTTTGTTTTTTATTTGTCAAAGAAATGAAAAGGGTAAGATCAACTAAGGAAGCAAAGAGAATAAACACACGCGTTAACGAGTCCAAAGAAAGAAAGAGTTAAAGGAAATTTATACAAGTTGAGTAAACTTCTTTCATTTTGCCCTAATTTTCCCCAACAGTTAATTTTATTTATTTATTTCACTTATTTCATTTTATTCTCGCTCGTTTTTCTTTCTTTTCCTCTTTCATTTTGTTTTTGTTCAATCTAATTTCATTCGATTAATTCATTTTTTACTTTTGTTTTGTCTTTTAAGTTTTTAACGTAATTCCTCCCCGATCCAGTCCCCGACACTTTCTCTCCTGTTTTGTCCACTGGAAGAGAAATGGCAGCCACAGTAAAAGAGCTGGGAAGGGCGGGTCGGATGGGGGTGGTGGAGAGAGCATGAAGAGGTGATGGGCGGGACAGGAAAGTAGACGGTGTTTGTCCGCGCTAAACGTAGCAGAAATTCATCGGCTCTTAAGAGGAGCGCAATGGTTATTTTAACATCTCTTGGAAGTAATTGTATTCCCGCTCAATCTCGTTTTCTCTCGTTTATTCTCATCTTTCTCCGTCCTCTCACCTTCCTCCCAAACCACCAGTCTATCCTTCCTTTCCCCGCACACAGACATCACTTGTCACTAGGAACATCACATCTTTCAATTCTGCAATTTATGATAGTCGCACATCTGAGAAGACATGGCCGCCAGTCCACAACGATTTGCTTACGCATGCGCAGACATACAACAACGCATTCGTTCAAATGCACGCATGAACTGAAGAAATTTCACATATGTATAAAAAATGACACATATTTACTCATTCATTTCACTTATACAAACACTCAAATCATGCTGAAATTGAATCACTACCTAAATAGACCTACGTATTTGTATTTATACATAATGTTTAAATACACACTTACACATATAATATGGAAATATTATTTAAATAAATATATCTCTTGATAATGTTATTTCTTTACTATTGCTATAAATCAATGAGCGGGCAATTAGTTAGAAAACTTTTTTTCATAAAATACTCTCGGAAAAAAGATTTGTTTAAACAAACTTCTGTCATATTTGTATATTTGCGAAAAAGTTTGCTTAATCTTTACATTTCAAAAGTTTATGAGAATGTAAACGATCTTCAAATCATTTCAACCCAGGCAAGGGAATAAAGACATTATAACACAAGGGGGTTACTGAATGTAAAAAAAAAAGCAGGAGAAAAAAGAAAAAAAATTAACATGAGAGAGCAATAAAAGAACAGAGATGAAAAAGACCTAAGATAACGATTGATATTTTATATTTAAATTTTTGAACATCAGAGTTGACTGGAAAGCAAGAAGCAGGAAGAGAGTTTCACAAGCTAGAAGTGTGAGAGTATAAACTGTTAGCATAGAACTTCAGGTTACATATAGCGATTTCAAGTGTAAAATGATGAGACCTAACAGCCAGTACTGCGCTTAAATTCTTAAAGACAAGTTACCAAAGAGAAAAGCTCTTAAGAAAAATTACCATAAAATATTTATAGAAAAAAAAACGCAGTGAACCTACGTTATGGCGGTGGGAATGTGATTGAAGCCGAGATGTTAGGTTAGGCTCGATAAAATTTCAGATTGTTCTTTGGAGTTTATCAAGAATCTCTAAATATATAGCAGAAGCACCAGACCAGATGTGACAGTAATATTCAATGCGTGGTTATTAATAGTCGACTAAATTAATAGTGTGTATAAGACAGATTCTGGTGAGAAAAATTGTCTAGCAAAACACAGTGAACCAACTTACATAGCAGAAGACCTAGCTAATGTTAAATATTGTTCATAGTGTCCATAGTAATTTTTATCTTTAAGATGATTACAACACAGTCTAGTTTTATTATTTATTTACATAATTGTAAATGATATATAGTAATACTCGTTTGTTAAACCTCGGATAGCTCAACTTGTAGTAGAACAAATCGGTACCCGAGGAAAAAATTGGAAGTAAAAGAAGGAAGAACCAAGAACATTAAAACAAGTGCTTAAGTTCTGAGTCCAAAGAAAGAAAAAACACAAACGAGTAAAAAGACTAAAAGGTAAAGTGCTCAATACGCTAAATAGAGCGATAAACTAGAATAATCCTAAGGAGCCAGGCAAACCTACCTAGGTTTTAGTTTTTATCAATAAATACTGATCCGTTATTTTCCTTTTTAGACAGTTTTACCCTGATGATCCGTTTAGGTGAAACGTTGGTAGGTTTGCCAGGCCCTTTAGTATTATTTTAGTATATATATATATATATATATATATATATATATATATATATATATATATTTCGATAAACGTGCAATCAATTTACAAATTCATGAATTATTCACACAAAAACAAATGCAAAGGTTAATGATTTAATTGGTGAGATGGTGAGAAATCCATCGTCGCAAACAATTCAAATAATATACAAAAACCTCCGAACCTGTTATGAATGAAAAGATCCTTGTTTCTATAAATTTCTGCTGCATTAGTTCTTATTTTGACTACAAGCTTTCGTCTGTTCCTACAGACATCTTCAGGTATGGAATAGATGTTGTTCTTGTTTTTTCTCTCAGTAATAAGAGGACAACGAAAATATATGTATTGTTGTATCCGAAAATGCTATTGGAAATGAGTTATTGTTTTTGGAGCGTGCAGTAGCACAACTGTAAAAATTTAAAATCAAACTGCTACTGCACGCTCCAAAAACAATAACTCATTTCCAATAGCATTTTCGGATACAACAATACATATATTTTCGTTGTCCTCTTAATGAACTAATGCAGCAGAAATTTATAGAAACAAGGATCTTTTCATTCATAACAGGTTCGGAGGTTTTTGTATATTATTTGAATTCTTTGACGATGGATTTCTCATAATTAAATCATTAACCTTTGCATTTGTTTTTGTGTGAATAATTCATGAATATATATATATATATATATATATATATATATATATATATATATATATTATAATTATAATTTTTTTGACGTGTTACCACGAAATTAAAGATAACTATAGCAGGTACAACAAGGAAACTAAGAGGAATGCCAAAGACTATTTTAATGAAAAGCGGGAGGAAAACGAGCGAGCAAAATTATTAGACCCGAATTTCTTTCTTTTTTATAAAACTAATGTTCATCCAATACAAGAGCCACTTAAGATAGGGGGTTACTGTGAGCAGTTGTATAAAAGGGCAATAAGTGAAGTTCATGGGGGTATGATGGAAAAAGAACAGCTAACTCTAGAATTGAATAGATCAGATCTTAATTAGTGGATAATATTTCAGAGTTCAACGGTTAGTGTGAAAGTAGACTTTTGAAGAAATCGGGAACCCAACCCTAAACAGGAAACAAGTGATAATCTTCTACTCAAGGTCAAAAGACGGGAAACCTGTGTGAACTGAATGATAGGCAGATCTATCTACTCCTACTGGGAGAGAAAAAAATAATAATTATTGAATAACATTTCAGAGCGTAGTCGGAGACATTCGAAGTATAGAGTACATATTAGAAAGAACCAGAAACCCAGTCTCAAAGAGAAATAATGGACAAACCTCTACTCTTGTTCAAAAGGCCGGGGAGGAGTGTGAACCGAACGTTAGCCAAACCTATCTACTCCTATAAGAACAGTTTTTTTTGCATTTTTAAAGACATTTGGACATGGAATGCGATATTTAATGCTCAGAATAATATCACAAAGAGCAATACAAATGCAAAAGAATGTATAACTGTGTTTTATAGATTTTGAAAATGTGTTTGATAAAATGCGTCAAAATGAACTATTTGAATTGCTAGGTAATATTGATATATTTGTAAAGGATATTAAAATAAATGAGGACCTATACTTGAAGCAAAATGAATTCAGTAAATATACAAATATAGTTATTCGACTTTTAAAGTGAGGTAATCCTGATAAAATTCGAAGTTTTGCCAGTGTTTATTATTGGTGGCCACAATCTTGCCAACATTAGATATACAGATGACAGTGTTTGTAGCAGACACCGAAATGGAACTGCAAAAAGAAGCTAGTAAATTAAAGCAACAGTAAGGGAATAAACACGAAAGATAGAAGGTTTGATCTTCAGAAAACGGAAGAGCTCAAGACCCGAACTACTAGAGACAGCACAATGAAGCAAGGACAAAACTTTAAATATCCAGGAAGTGTTTAAATAGAGGACAGAAAAGACAACACCGAAATCCAAAAACTCATTGGGATAATGAAAATTGCCTTAAAAAAACCTCAGCAAAGCATTAAGAAAACGTAAAATTTCCTTAGACACAAAGAAAAGAGTTACAGAACTGTTATGTTATATTGGTCCTCTTACAGTGTGCGTCTACATTACACAAAATTGAAAATAACACTGACATCTCATTTTAACAGATATATTCACTAAAATTACGTTAAAATATCTTGAAAACTAAAGAGTAAATTTATACAATAAATTTGCCATTGGCTTCAACCACGACCTCCAGACGACTTCGGAATCTACTGCAACTCTTAATGGGCGGTCTACTTATATAAGTTGAGGAAAGCTGCCATACTCCTTGCCTTCAGTTCATCTTTGGTGTTACAAAGGAGCTTTTTGGCCTCTTGCTCAACTGTGCCCCATACATAATAATCAAAGGGATTGCAGTGTGGGGAGTTAGGGGGCCAGATGTAAGGGGTGATGTTGTCGCAGAAATTGTCTGACAGCCATCACTGGGTTCTGGGTTGGCATGGTGCAGAGTATTGTTGCCTGACATAAGGTGTTCCAGCAATCACCTTTTTGACTCAGGGCAGCACTACCTCCTCAAAGCACTTGACGTAGGTCTCCGTGTTTAGTCTGAGGCCCTGTGGGAAGGTGAATGAAGAGAGACATGACGTCGCCATCACTAGCAATCACCCCAAACACCATGATGTTGACAGGATATATCATCCAACGATCTTCGAATCTTCTGTACGCTCCTCAAATTGAAATGTTCGTATTGGATATTCCTTCATGAATCCCAAGCAATACATCATGATGTTTCCAAATTTCTGGTTAAGTAAATTGCTGCATGCTGCTTTTTCATCTCACAGACGGTGCCCAACTGACCCTACTATGCTATGCAGTGGGCAAAAACAAAACAACTATACTTTTTTTTTTAAATCTACTTTAAATAGATCCAATACTTAACCTACATTCGCCATTAAATATAACCAAAGGTTAGTTTATCTTTGAATAAGCTAATCCAGCCCCAAAAGAGAAAATGCGAAAATTAAAGAGATTAAGGTTTTGTTTCGAGAATTTGGTGGCATAGTTACTCTGATTTCAATTTCATAGCAAAATGACTCTCAATAACTGAGCAGTACTGTGACGATCCCCACTAATTAAATAACATGTTCACTTCGAAATTCCGCAAAGGAAAAATAGGTTTCTCAAATCCACTGCTATAACTCTTTCCAATACATATAGGGACTTTACAAACTTTCTGGTCGAAATAATGTCGAAAGTCAACATATTGATCATGTCATTATTTTCTCTTCGAGTTACATGTTCTAACGATTTTAGTTGTCACTACCGTCGATCCTTCTCAAGTGATGTGGTTTCTGTTGTTACAGTTCTTTGTTTGGGATTCTCTAGCGCCAGACCATTCGGTTTGAAGAAGAATGATCATCGTTAAGACTTACAAAGAACAAACAAGGCTGGAAACCATTTTCAACCACTGATCTGAGAAAGCTGTTGTATACAACTGACAACTGAGATATTTCCGAACGCATGTGTTGCCATGCATGTCATCCATATGAAAGTGTCGATCTGACGAGATTATTTAAGAACATGAGTAGAGATTTTAAGTTAATCTTTGTTTTTGTAGCAATGTGCGGATCTATCCCTTGCGCACATTGCTACTTTCAATTTCCTTAGAGAACATATTATATATGCAAAAAGAAAATTGAAGGAAAGAAATATATGAAAAAAAAAATGGAAGCAAATGTCGCGGTCGATATCAAAGAGAAAGAAAGAAAGAATCAAGGTCGGCATGAAGACCCATCACCAGACAAGGAGAATGAGTCTGAGACAAATCTATCCATTAGAGATTTATATAAGTATATATTTATTTTGTGTTGAATGTTTCTTTTTTTTTTCTACTCTTAAATCTACCTATTGTCCCAGTGAAAGCTTTAAAACAAAAATTATTGTTTTATGAGGAAATCCCCTCAGCACAAACATTCGGACTCAATTTAGATCAAAAAACTTTATTAAAACCGGTCGACATTTTTCCAGTTGCATTATAAGTTAATGCACGTCCGGATCAAATAAATGTAGAAAACGTCCACATTCCAAAATATTTTTGTTCGTCTACTTTCAACCGTCTCCTGTCATTATCAGAAACATTAATTTTATCAATGCCATAGAGAAAAAAATTGTTAGCATTATCCTGGTAATTTTAGGTGTTCTCCTTTTTTTTAATTTAAATATATTGTATTGTAAACATCATACAGAGGACATTTTGTAACGATATGTATTTTTTTTTTAATTAAAGTAGTGGGTGAAGGTGTTGGTTTGTGAAACTGGAGACATGGTAACTTTGAGTTCAATCCCTGAGCCGGGCTGTGCGATGTTTTAATGACAGCAGAGCAATAGCTGAGCTAGAGTCAGCAAAATGATAACAATGTAATCTTTAGAGTAAATATAAGGTTCAGTTAGAAATTCCATGTAGGATAAGCGGACCAACAAGTATAAAATGAAGGCCGGAGGTCACAGCAACCGAAAGGTTGCGATAGTGATTTTCTAAGCGCTGCTTAGATGTAGGACAAGGCCGGAAGTATGGGGCACACAGTGAGGTTCGAACTCACTACTCAGTCGTAATTGTTCTAGCGAGACAAGCTTGCTAAGCATTACACCACGCCGAGGTGCCCCCGAAAGGTTGTGATAACAACAAATATTTGGACAATAATGTTAATAATGTAAATAATAGTATGTAAGTCTTATATAAATTTGGTAGCGCTTAAATATTTATTATTTTTATACATGTTAAAATATCGTCGTCTGTGGTGAAAAATATTGCGCATAATGTGTAAAGAAAACCTCGAAAGATTGGAGTTATCATTCCACATAAACCACGACATATATAAAAAAAATATTATGATATGGATGATAAGCACACGTGGCTTCATGATTCTGAGTGCGACATTTCAGCTCTGATACTTTTGGCAGCTATTTTCTGCATCCAGCAATCTTCGAATTTCTAATCCACCTTTTATTTATTTTGTCGGCTTTCGTCACTGCATTAATTCAAGCTATTCGTAAAGCAAAGACCCGTGCCGCATTTACATTCCATTAACTTGTGTGACGCAAAGACGAGATTTCTTTCTTGTTGTAATTGTGTACGTCTCTGTTCGTCAGACCAAGTCTCGACCAAGAACTTTCCAGTAAATTAGATAGGCAGATTCCTGGTTGAGAAAATCGGAATTCAAAGGTGATTGTTAAAGTGTCTGCAGTCGCATAAAAGAAAGAACACACACACACACACACATATATATATATATATATATATATATATATATATATATATACATTGAAATTAAACATACATACATACATGCATACACACATATATATATGTGTGTGAGATTTTAGTGAAAGGTTTTTGAAAATCTTTATATATATATATATATATATATATATATATATATATATATATATATATATATATATATATATATATATATATATATATATATATATATATATATATATATATATATATATATATATATATATTGTATATATATATATATATTGTGTGTGTGTAGAGTAGTGGATAGCGTCTCGAATTGAGGAATCCGAGAGCCAAGTTCAAATTCCAGTCGAATCCATTACATTGACTTACGTGCTAATACCCTTGGGAAAAGTATGAACCCCTCTTCTTCTCCCTCCAGCTATGGGTGAATAGTAGGACAGACTGGGTTCTATAGCCTTAGATAACAACTGGTCTAGGAGAAGGACAACTCTGAATTCAAACCATGCGGAGGGTCGTGGGGACCTTGTGGCACGTAGTGCACCAGGTCTCTGAATTCAGCCCTCCAAAAAGTGTGGTTGGTTCTGCACGAGGCCTTCACCACTGTAATCAAATCATACGTGCTTGTGTCTGGGCTGTCGGTTCCTAGGAACTGAGCTGCTTGACCCCATACGTCGAATGCGACAGGAGAATCCATATATATATATATATATATATATATATATATATATATATATATATATATATGGTTTTAAGACTTGTAATATTTACAATAATATGGTGAAAAAATTATTATTATTGGTTATAGGGCGTTTATGACTATATAATGTGAGAATAAGAACCAACACTTGGTCTGAAGAACATTTTGAAGCGTTCAACTGTTAGTTACCATGCAGTGTTGAATTCTGCGTCTCCATTATGCATATGCGTATATAGGAATAGGTTTTGCAATGTTTTCCTATCACTCTTGCCTTCAGTCTGTCCTGTGAGTATCAAATTTTCCAAGCGTTCTTTCTTCATTATGTGTCCTACAAATGCCAACCTTCTCTTCTTGATATTAAGTATAAGTGTCCATTTTGTTTCCATTTTCTCCAAAAATGTTTGCTCACATGTTTGGTCTATGCTATTCTGTAGAATCCGATTTCTTTTGCTTCAAATCTCTTCTTTATCTGTGAGGAGTATGTCCTGCATCAACTGTCATATAGGAGAACTGATGTTATATAACTGTTCAATATTCTAATGAAATTTCTATGTTTCTTCATACTTTGCCTAGCTTTTGGAATCTATTTTTTGCATCATAATTCGCCTTCGGATTTCAGTGTTCCAATTTTTATTCACTGTTAAAACACGAAGGCTTCTTTAAAAAGAATAATTTAGAACTGTCTCGTTTTTCCCATCCTTGTCCAGGATGTTCTCAGTGTCTTTCTGTAAAACCATATTTCTGTTGCTTCAGGTTTCTTCCTCTTCTGTGGGGATATTGTCCAACATTCACAAGAATCCATGGCAAGTCACAGTTAATATTAAAACGAATCTAAGAGCAAAAAAAGGACGCTGCAGAGAGTCATTATCGTCTACGTTATTGTTAACAACGTTAAGAATCTGTCTATCTCTCTCAGATGAGGTATTATGATTATTTAAATTATTTACATTATTCGAACAGTTATCTTCATCTTCATTGCAATATTCACAACGTTTCGGCCGTTTTACGCTCCGGGTTTCTTTACCTGATTGGAACCGGAACATTTATTTCCTCCACTGGGATAAATTGTTCTAGTTTCACGAGCCATGTCTCTTCAAAATGACTCGGTTATTTCCCTTTACTTCATTTCACTAAGTTTTGGTTCACCACTGCTGTAGCTAGATATTGAAGTCACAATTCTTTACATCTACTCACTGGATCTATCCACTGGGTCTTTGAGACCCAGTGGTTAGAAGGTTCGGTTCGAAATTCCAATCACCTGAAGAACGCTGGAGCGTACAACGGCCGAAACGTTGTGAATATGGCAATGAAGATAGGGATAGCAGTCTGCATAATGTAAATAATGCAAGTAATGTTAAGAATATGACGACAAATACTGAACTGAACTATCTTCTATGCGCCGTGCCCTTCAGAATGTTTGCGATCATGGCTCTCCACAACTTCCTGTACTTTGTAGCTCTTAGCAGCGTTTGTCTTTTTGCTATATCTCTTGTTCTGTCAACCATTTACTCAAGCTCTTTAAGTCGTTTATTCTCTGCTTTTCTCTGCCTTCAACATGTCCTGTGAGTGTCAAATTCTCTAAGCCCTCTTTCTTCATTATTTGCCCTAGAAATTTCAATAGTCTCTTTCTGATTCTAAGAATGAATGTACTTTTTGTTCCCACTTTCTCTAAAGCTTCGTCGTTTTCCTATGTTGAGTTCATGTTATTTTCCAACATCCTTCTGTAGAACTACATTTCCGTTGTTTCAAATCTCTTCTTCATCAGTGAAGAGATTGTCCAACATTCACTGTCATGCAGGAGGATTGATACTGCGCAACGATTCAGTACTCTTTTCTTTGTTTTTAACGAATTTTTTCTGATTCTTCTTACTTTGCTAAACTTTTGAAAGGCTTTTTTCGCTATCCCACTGCATCTTTGGATTTCAATGTCGCACATTCTGTGTTCTGTTAAAACATATCTCAGATATTTAAATTGTTTTAATTGTTCGATTTTGGTATATCCAATTTGTAATTGGCATGTTGGACTTTTGCCTTTACTGACAAGACCGTTTAATACATGAAATGTGAATATTAACTCTTACTATGTCAAGTCTAAGGGAACACTTCTTTTCTCAGTTCTCTTCCGCGGAGTGGGGGTCATTAGACTGTAGACTGAACACTTCTACGAAATTTCTTTCGAGTAGACACAGAGATAGATACTTTCATACGAAATAAATAAGAGATAAATATTCTTTTTTTTTCCTTTATTATAACAACTGATTTGTATGCCTCCGAATTTAATCGATTACTGATGGCTACAATAGAACAAACGTAACCCAATAGCTAAATCAATTCATGTTTCTTTAAAATACCATGTAAATCAGCATATGATGATAAGTAGAAGGGAAAAGAAAAATTAAATTAAAATCAAGAAAAATTTTAATGAAACGAAAGTAAGATAAATAACAATTTCCTTTATTCATTGGAGCCATGAGTGGGTCTCAGTGTCAGCAGATTAGAACAAAAAATAGAAATGTAATTCTTTACAAGGACTTTAAAGAGTTCAGTAGATCTTGAGTAATATAGTAGTAATAGCATGTCCATGCAGCGACCCGGGAAATCTGAAATTGCTTTTGTCAAAATCAGTGCCGGATTACTAAATGAATCGGATTATTGAATGGCCACCCTACACTTCATTTTGATGATTATTGTATAAGTATTGAACCTCTTCATTTTTTGGTCTAAACGCAGTTACATGCAATTAGGCAAGTACAAATCTCGACCATTCTTCTTTGGATGGGGTTTATTTATCCCTCCATGGTAATAGCCGTTTCCTTATAA